TAAGAATATTTGTCCATCTATAATAGAAATTACATGAGTAGGAATATAAGACGAAACATCTCCTGATTGGGTCTCAACTATTGGTAAAGCATCCATTGCTTCTCTCATGTAGTAGTTATAAATAAATTGTACATTTTTGCTCACTACTTTAACTTAAGGTGTACTATCACCGCCATTTTCAACACTAAACACGTGTTTATAGGCATAACCATAGTTCACAAATACAAAACAAAGAATTCACTATGGTTCTGCACATGAACATGTGTCAAGTGTTAAGAAGAGTAATGAGAGTACACCTTGGATTAAAGTAACAAGCAAAAATATTAAAAGTATATGGCTGAATGTTTTTCCAATGTGCCGCCATCCCTTAGAATGTGAGAATGAGATGTAATGATATGGAACAAGTAAACTTAAAATTAAAACTACCGGTTTTTAATTTTATTTAGTGAACCATTCTATCTACACTTCTATCAATATCCTCTCATTTTTCTCTGTCATCTTCAATTAAAAACTAAAAGGCTCACTACTAATCTAATCAAGCACTGATATTGTTAGTAACTTATTAACCATTAAGGTTCAATACATTAGACATTAGATTCTCTCAACCCCAAAAAAAAAAAAAAAAAGATTTGGAATTTCACAAGAGCTTGAGTTGGCGACCACAATCACCATCGGCACAAATTCTGATTGAGGTTTGAATTTGAAGTCCTTGTCAGAAAGCCTGGACAGTGACTTTGGCCGAGAGCTAGCTACTTATTCACATTTTCTTTTCTATAGAGGCTGTTTGTTATATCAGATTAACCAAGAAACCACCATGATTCATTCTCGATTTGAATTCCATCCGACCATGACATATAAAATCATAATTAGTAATTAAATTATGCGAATATAATGCAAATCTAAGTTTTAATTAAATCCAAATCGTATGCAATTAATTAATTAATTAATGGAGGGCCATCTCATGCTCACGAACGGCTCATGACAAAGTTAGCTAAGTTGGGCTGTCAAATTGGGTTGTCGGCTGCTGGATGGTATTTGGGTGGTCACCAAACTACAAAGTCATTTTGGATATCATTTGCTCATTATATTATTATTATTATTAATTCATAGAATCATTTCATAAAAAAATCCACACTAAACCACAAGCTTACCCTTTTCCCTAAATACATCATCAATTCATCATATCAATCACATTGGTCCTCTCTCTCTCTCTCTCTCTCTCTCTCCCCTTTCTTCTCTTCATTTTTTGGTTGTTGTATAAAATCCCATAATGACACAATCTCAGTTTACTTTTTAGATAATTAAAATCCCATAATGACACAATCTCTTAACCATTAAGTACGTGGAATATTGTCTAAATGTATAATTTAAATTGATGGCTTTATTATCATCATGACTTGTATTGAGCCAAAGTTTAAAGTTCATTTGAAATTACAATTTTACCCTTTGTCTGTCTCCAAATTATTCTTGATGGGTGGTTCTGGCTGTCCGCAATAGGCTCGGCAGGAAGAATCTCTTTCTTTCTCGGATCAAATCACGTTTTTCTCTCCCACTTAAAATAATTGCCATTTGTTTTTCTTGGTAAATGGAAAAAAAATAATAATAATGCCATTCAAATTTTTAACAAAAAGCAATCAAGCGACCCCATAACCATAAACACCCACTCCTCTCTTTCATTCACCTGGCAAATATTTGTTGAGAGGACCAATGCCCGCAACCTTTCCACTCTCTCTTTCATTTCACTTTCTCCCACTCTAATCCAACGACCTTTGTTTAATTTGAAGACCCATTTATATATACCCCATCTCTCTCTCTCTCTCTCTCTCTCTCCCATTCATTGGAAAATTCTCTCCCACCCTGCAAGCAAAGCAGCTTTCACTTTTATTTTTGTTCTCTTCTCTTTCCTTGGGGTCTCTTTCTGTCTTTGCTTCTCTCTCTGGCTTCTGGGTTTGTGTGCTTTTTACTCATTGAGATCTGCATCAAAATGGGTTACTCCCAAGGCACTTTCACTGACTCTATAGAGCCCCCCAATGCTCCTCTATACGCTTCCTCCTCTGTAGTAGCTACAGATCACTACTGTGACTATAATGAGCTCAGAATCAAAACCATTGTGAAGAAGATGCTTCGGGAGCTTGGTCTGGCCTGTTTTCTTCCACCTCGCCAGAGGAGGAGCAACCAGAGCCCAATTGATGACGATGACGACGACAACAATGGAAACAACAAAAAGAACATAAATTTAGAGCACAACAAGGCATGGTTGCTAGCAGAGTCAGGTGGGTGTGGAGCAGAGTTGGCAAATGCTGATCCACACTCAGTTCATTCCTCTTTCAGGTTCAGCTTCTGCTCTCAAGTTGAGCTTGAGTCCTTGAACATGAGCTCTTCGGCCGCTGCAACTGTTTTGATGGTGAATTTGGACAATGGGTTGTGTGAGTCTAAAGCTAAAGAATTGAAATGGAGGAGATTTGAATCATTAGAGAGGAGCATATCCCCAATGGCTCACACTTTGGTCAGATTCAGCTATGGTGAAATTTTTGCTGCTACTCGTCATTTCTCAAAAGGTAATTAATTGGGTTTGTTTTGTTTGAATCAAATTTTGTTATTTTATATGAAATTGTAATGGATTTTGTTGTTTTGGGTAGGCAGAGTTTTAGGGAGAGGAGCTCTGAGCTGTGTCTTTAGGGGTAGAGTTGGGATTTTGAGGACTGCTGTGGCAATTAAGCGATTGGACAAGGAAGATAAAGAGTCTTCCAAGGCATTTTGTAGAGAGTTGATGATTTCTAGCTCTCTTCAAAACCCAAATGTAACACCTCTTGTGGGGTTTTGCATAGATCCAGAGGAGGGCTTGTTCTTGGTTTATAAGTACGTCTCTGGGGGAAGTTTAGAGCGGCATTTACATGGTGAGTTCTCTTGGTCTTTTGAATGGAAGAATTTGATTTGAATTTGGTGAATTTGAATGATTTTTGACATAACCCATTTGCAGAGAAAAAGAGGGGAGTGAAGGGCTCTGCAACACTTTCTTGGTCTGTAAGGCATAAGGTTGCAATTGGAATTGCTGAGGCAATTGCATATTTACATAACGGAACCGAAAGATGTATTGTTCACCGTGATATCAAACCCTCAAACATTCTCCTGTCTTCCAATAAAACGGCCAAGGTAAAAGGAGAATTTTCTTATTGAGTTCATTCTTGTTTGAATGTTAAGTTTGAAATAGGTTTCATAGCTCACTCTATACACCATACGAGTCATTTTGATTGATTGAATGTATATTGTTGATACTGTTTGCAGTTATGTGATTTCGGATTAGCCACATGGACTTCTGCACCTTCCATCCCTTTCCTTTGCAAAACTGTCAAAGGAACATTTGGGTATGATCTTGAGGAAACTTAACGAGAAGGAAATACTTTTTCCTGTTGCTTGTTCCATAAAGATGACTTTTATTTTACATTGCTCAAATTAAAATTATTTGTGCAGTTACTTGGCTCCTGAGTATTTCCAGCATGGGAAAATATCCGATAAAACCGATGTTTATGCTTTTGGGGTGGTCTTGCTGGAATTGATAACTGGAAGGAAGCCAATTGAAGCAAGAAGGTCACAAGGAGAGGAAAACTTGGTTCTATGGGTAGGTGTATCTTACTACCTTCTTATCTTGCCTTTCCTTTTGACTATGTGAATGTGAATTGATGGGCCCCTCATTGCTTCTCATGCTGAACATAATTTCTGTTAATAGTTTATTCTTAATTATAGCCAAAATGCTCCAAAGTTTTTATCTATTCAATCGGGATACTTTCTCGATTGACTGATAGACACGTTTCTTAACAAGGGTGTTAACACCAACCAAATCACTTTCTGAAAACGGGATTTTCTGAATCATCAAACTTTCTGTATGCTGTTTCCATGGAAGTATTCAAAACTTGTCTTTTTTTCTCCAATTGGGGTCAATGTAAACAGATGAAAAGTGTACGTGGTGTATATTACTGGATGCTATAACTGGGTAGTTGGTGTTAATTTATTGACAAGAATCAAAATACTCAATTACAAATGTATCATTTCCATGTTTTCATCAGGCAAAACCACTCTTGCATAAGGGGAAAGGCGCTATTGAGGAGTTGCTTGATCCACGGCTAAAATGCACTTTGAGAAATTCAAATCAAATAACACGGATGATTGAAGCTGCAGCTGCCTGCATAACTAGTGAAGAATCTCGTAGGCCAAGCATTTGCGAGATAATGGCAATACTTAAAGGTGAACAACAGCCTTTCTTCTCCAAGAGGAAGAAGTCCAGTTTGCTGGGAAATGGATTGGTTATTGATTGTTATTCTCAATTACAGCAAACAAATAGTGACATGAAGAGTCACCTAGCTCTGGCTATGCTAGGGGTCTCTGAATTTGAAGAAGATGATCACCTGTACTGTCGTTGAAACGCGATTCATAAACTATCAGGATTTTTCAACACTTACATTTATATTGTTGCTTGTTTGAAGTTTGAACAGAGTGCTAGAAGTGAGAACTGGAAATAGTGTTGAATTTGTAGATACGAATAGCCGAATAGGAGTCGGATGAACAGGAGCCTGTACATATCTTCCGTTTTACCTCTCCCTATTCAGCTATTCTAATAGGGAAAAGTGTAACAGAAATTTTTATCTAAGTTTAAAAGTTCTTGTTCCATTGAACCCTATGAATTTTAATTCATCATGATTCTTGAATGTGGAAGGACAAAACTTGCAGCTCACGTTTGCGTTTGGCCAATTGGCGAATGTAACAAAACTTACCCAATTCAGCTAACAACGTTATATCAAATAAAATAATAAGAACAAAGAGAATGTGTGTATATATATATGTAACCTGAATCCAATTGGGGCCACATACCAACTACTTCAATACACTGGTGGTTGACTTGTACGTTTTATTTGTGACCTGTAGGTTTTATAGGTCACCGATAATATATATGTATCTATTTTATGAGATAAATAAATTTGAAAAAAAAAAAAAAAGAAGCAAGATTTCAATTGGTAAGGGTACACTTGAATTAAATGTACCATATATATAGGATGATAAAATAAGAAGTTTACAGTTAAACTACCAAAGCATTTCTGTTCTAGAAAAATTCAAAATGAAGAAAAACAATCAATGCACGTCTCATAGGCATGGAATGAGTCACATAAACACATATAAAAGAGAATGACATATATAAATTGAAGGGAACATATAACTAAAATATCTTAGCAATATCCTTCATTAAACCACGGTTAGCTAGAGCAAAAGCTATGTACTCCTGGTACGAAATGTAGCCGTCACCGTCGGTATCAATCTCCGCCATCATAAATTTCACTTCGTCCGATTGCACGCAGCCGAGGGTTTTCAATGCATCCCCTAGTTCCGATGCAGAGATTTTCCCATCACCGTTGGTGTCGAAGCGCTTGAAAATGCGCTCACGGTCGACCTTTTCTTGTGGATCTTCTTCAGCCATTGTTGAATGTGGCTTGATATGATGAGATTTTTTCTAAGTTGTTGTTTGTGATGAATTAAGGACTGCGAGAGGTAAAAGTTTTGGTCTTTGAGAAATGAATGAGTGAGTGAGAGGTGAAAGGTCTGGTTTTTAAAGAGATGGTTTTGTAAAAAGAGTAAGGTGACCCTTCAAAGTAGGGGTTTGAGCATGAAACCCTCAACAGTTTAACCCCCAATAAGGATAAAAAAAACATGGCTTGCTTGCTATTCTGGAAAATACTTGGGTTTTGACCAGTCTAGACGTCATCATCCTCACACCAACACTGTTGAAGGAAATTGTTACACGTGTCTCTGTTTTATTGCTTGAAAAAGGAGAGTTTGAACATGCGGTCGGTAAGAGGGTGTTTTGGGCACATATTTTAGTGGTTTGGAATATTTTGAACATATTTCGTCAAACGTATGCGATGATGGTGCTTTCTGTTTCTAGAACACTATTTTCCTATTTCATTTTTTAATTATCTAACATGCATAATAATGGTTTTTTTTTATTTAAACAAGCGATATTAGGGGAGGGGGGAATCGAAACTAGAACTTCAAGTTCAGGGTATACACTCTTAACCACTTGAGCTACAAGCCCCTTACAACATGCATAACAATGCTGAAAATCCATTCTATATGAAGATTTCCAATGAATAGTAATTCAAAACCAAACATTTAAAATTGACTTAACCTTGAAATATGTATGGCCTGAAATTGATGAAGGAATTGATACTAGGACAATTTGGAAAACGTTGATTTGTTGGATGATTTGAAATGCATGGATGCTGTGATATTTGACATATTGAGTGGCCTAAAGTTCCAAAACTATGTGCTCTAACAAAAGGGCAATGATCCGTCTAGTAGCACACTGAAAAGACTGTTTCCGAGAAAATTTGGTTCCAAATTCCACATGAAACTTGAGAACGGAAATTCCACAAGAATAGGGAACAAAGCAGGCTGAAAATTGATTACACAAAAAGAGAAAGGAAGAAAAAGGTGGAAAAGTGATTTGCAAGAAAAAGCTGGCTGAAAATTATTATTAGTGCTGTATCTCAGCATGAATGTTTATTGGATGATGGTGACATGATGTGTTACAATCAAATCTTAATTGTGCTAAAATGGCTGAGTTATATCTCACAGCAGCATGAGCTGACTACAACCATAAATTGGAAAATTTTCAAATGGGCTCAGTGTTGTCACCATTCTAATATATAGGCAGGAACCTCGGAGGTAGTTACATATTTACTTCAAGAACTTATGCTACAGATTTGAGCATGACATTCAGCACAGCTTCTCTAGTCGGCAAAGCCGGAATAGCACCTCTCTCCGTCACAGTCAATGCACCACAAGCATTAGCAAACAGAAGAGCATCTCTCAGTTTGCCCTCTTCCTACATGTCAAATCCAGATACATGGCCACTTTCTTTAGGTTGACAGATTTAATTCATTGCTAGCAAAATAATTAATTAAAAATAAAAACTAGAACCCTATATTTCAATCAATAATAATCACACTATGAAAAGGAAACTGAGAATCACACAGCCAAATACCGCAGATCAATCAAGAAAGTTCACAATAAGGCAGTGCATGTTAAATACTATTCTTTAATAAAAAAAGGCAGCAGTATTCAATATCCTCATTATGCATATACTTTGAGATTTTAAACAAAAATGCAGGATTTCTTCCCAAGCCATATGATAAATAACAGATAAGTACGGAATAAAAGGGTGAAACTAAGTTATATAGATCTTCCACAACTCAGAAAGCCATTATCATCTGTGCTCTGTCTTAACGATGAAATATCCGTTTGTGGAGGAAAATGTCTGATAAGCGAGTCTCTATGGTAAATTAACGTTATTTTGTTGTTAATGATGATGATATAGAGTAGCCTGATAAGAACTCTCTAGAATTTCAGTAGTAGACTGATTGCACGCCTAACAGCCCTGGGAGTGGTGCATTTTATAAATTTGAAGGGAGTAGTTGAGGAGGTACTTTGCCTTAGATAAAGTATGACAAACTGGTCTGCATGACCAAGGCCTAGACAAGCTGTTCTAAGTAATCAAGTATTCCCACATAAAGACAGGCTGTTCTAAGTATTCAAGGATTCCCATGTAATTTGTGGACATCTTTTGCAGTTTAGCTGACAAGGACTGGAAAATTCCAGTGAGTAAAAGATGTACTGTTCACTCAAAAACAAGCACCACGTATAGCAAGCAAGGTCATGGACTAAAAGCAAGCATATGATGTTATCAAACATGTTTCAGTTTTTAGTTTTCAAAAGAAGTGAAAAATGAAAACGAAATGGTTATCAAAGGGGCATTGAGTGTTTTCGTAGACTGCCTATTCCAACCCAGTGAGGTTTTCAGTAGGCTGAACCACCCATGTGGTCTTATGAGACATACACCTAAATTCAAGTCGAAATTAATTTGTTGAATTCTGGTGCTAATTACATGCATTAAGTATTTAATTACTTTTGTGTGGCTTTATGCGATTAAATTGTACATTTCAATTTACAATCCTTAGGTTTACCAAGCCGTGGTTAAGTTGACTTAGTTATTAACTGGGTTGATCACCCGATAATTAATTGAGCTTTTAGAAAGAATGTTTCCACAACTTCAACTGAACTGGCCTTATATCTTGCATGGGTAATTTAACTTGCAGGAATTAAATTCAAGCATACATGGAGCGGTTTTTTTTTCAGATTGTGTTAGTCTTAGTTCTGTTCATACCCCTCTAAGATAATTCACATCCTAGGCCCGGATCACAGGCCTACCAAGTCCTTTGGGCTAGATCAACTAATATGGCTTCGGAATATTTTGGGGAAGAACAAAAGACCAGTCTCAGTATTCTAGCGGGAATCCATACCCCTTGGTAGCCTCTAAGAGGCGTTGCAGACAAAGACCGCCTTCTCCTTTTTGCTGTATCAGTTATTGTCAAAGCTTAACTAATACCAAGGACAAAATAAAATTTCTTCGTTTTGGTGATTGAAACCTGTTTATATAGATAGGGATTCACAGAACACATTTACATTTCAATTTCTTGGATGAAACTTTTTTCTTATGATAAGAAGAATTCAGGAAGGAGCTAGTAAAGATAATCTTACTGTTCCTTTTTTCTACACTAGAACTTCAGTTCAACAATTTAAAAGATACCAATATCATTTTTATAGAACCTAAAAACAAAATGGTTTTAGCACCACATCCACAATTGAAGTTTCACATAAGGAAGTAAATACTAATATGCATGGTCAGAGTGACTCATTACTGCCTCGATTTTGATTCAGCCTGTCTTGCTTCATCTGGCGATGATGGAAATACTTCCACATGCCTCTTCACTGAGAAGGGGAGATACAGCAACTACATCCTCATTCTGAATCCCATTCCCAACCTAAAACCCTAATTCTAGAACCCCTCAAAGTGCTTAATTAATGTCAGATTGAGTAACAATTGGGGATCAGTCAGTTTTGGGTAAATTTAGAACTTGTTAAGTGGAATGACGAAACTGCCCTTAATTAAGTGGTAATGTGCAATTCACTTGATAATTTCAGTTAAAAAATACTTAACAAACGTTAGGATTTTGTCCTTAACACACAATCCAAAGTTCAGGAACATAATAACACATTTTAAAACTTTAGTACCAAAGTGAGACAACTCAAAGTTCAGGGGACGTTAGTGTAATTTACCCAGCAGCTTATGCAAAAAAACACGATTGTTTTCTTCAAGAGGCAAGATCACTGCTTCCTATTTAATTAGAAAAGGATTAATAAAGTAGATTCATAGAACTAGTACCTAGAGGCTGTAAACCGTTTTCATTTCTTTCCGTTTCTTTTACTATGTTTTTCTGCAATGGTAGAGGCAGTCATCTGTATGAAGATATGGTTTTCCCATGGAGACCTTAGTATATCCATTTTTGTGAGTTTCTATTTCATAGTGGTGCAGTATGATTAATAAAGTAGATTCGTAGAACTAGTACCTAGAGGCTGTAATCCGTTTTCATTTCTTTCCATCCATTTCTTTTACTATGTTTTTCTGCAATGGTAGAGGCAGTCATCTGTATGAAGATATGGTTTTCCCATGGAGACCTTAGTATATCCATTTTTGTGAGTTTCTATTTCATAGTGGTTCAGTATGATTATGTTACTTTCTCAATGTGCAGGGTGATGAAGCATGTAGCAATATATAATTATATGTTTAATTAATAACTTGAAGAAAGTTCTGTGAAATATCTGTATCCGAGATGAAGTACCTGAAGCAAAGAGAGATCAACAGCTAGTTGTGATAGTATTCCAGCTACAAATGCATCCCCAGCACCAGTGGTGTCCACTGCATCTACCTTCATACCCTTGACTCTTCCACTGAACTCCTGCAAGTACACATACACTTTGCGGTTTCAGACTTACAAATACTAGGAAGAGAAGTATATATACTGTCAATCTTGCTGAAACAATATCATCCCATTAATTTAGAGATTAGGAAGATACTCGTTCTCTATTCCACCTCAAGATTCATATATGATTCATATAGGAAACGAAGGCAGTTTTCATATGGCTCATTAAAATTAATAGAAAGAAGAATAATAATATAATAACACTTTATATTTTTCTTATGCTCAAAAACACTATATATTCCAGAATGATGACCTTAACACTTTCAAAGGAGCAACAGTTTGATTTGCCAGAAAAACAGGAGCAACAGTTAAGGAAACAAAATAACCTGTACTCGATCGGAGGAGTATATGTTAAAACATTCAATGGACATATAATGTATCCAAACCATCTCTCTTGTGTTATTCATTTCAGATATTATTAGTTAAAACTTACTTCCAATTCAAAATACTTCAGCATAAATATATACCTATATATTTTTAATTACAATTCTAAAAAGGTTCTGTTAATTATGCGATCATTCAAATAACTTTGCATGTTACAACAATTTTAAAAATCTGCTAATACTTTCTTTCTTTAATAAGACACAAATTTTATTAAGAAAAAACTGAAGGCACATAGAAAAATGGCCGAGAAGTCCATTACCTAAAACAACAGCCATCACACCAAAACCCAGGAAGTACTCAACAGAAAACTGCCCCCGATCCAGAATATATACACTAAAGGAATTTTCTTGGAATATTTTGACACAATGCCCAAAAAGAAGCAAGCAGTCCAATTCTATCCAAAATTGCACCCTTTCCCCCTTATCTTTGATACTCGACAACAAAGCCAAACATTTTTAAATGAGATCGCCAATAAAATCAAATTAATTCACCAAGGTTGATATAAAACTCACCTCATAATCTCATCTAATACTAAATTTTACAATTTAAAGGAATAATATTTACTTAAGTATTTCCTTACTATATTACACTCTGATTCATGGTATGGTGCATGCATCAATATGTAATCTGTAATAATTATCATTTTAGTCACAGAGAGAGAGAGAGAGAGAGAGAGAGAGAGAGAGAGAGATGGCGAGAGAAGTAGAATACATAAAAGAGCATATTTGGAAACTTACCTTGGTGTAATACCTGCAGCCATCAGGGCCCTCAGTGACCAGCAGTAATTTAAGATTTGGATGGTACAATTTTCGAACAACATTTTCGTCATAAGGATCTTCTCCTTCCGTTAGAAAAGAAATCTCCTCTTCACTTATCTGAAAAATAAATAATTGATATCTCAGCGGATGTAGTACCATTACTTTAATCAATTTTCATATTACCCTTTTCAGAAAAGGGACAAGAAAGATCAAATATGAACCAACAGGTGCATAATCTACATATTTAAAGGTTTGCATACCTTGATAACATCAGCAGTCTCCCATATGCTCAAAATTCCTTCTCTGGCACTCTTTGCAGAAGGCCACAATGGAAGCCTGAGGTTAGGATCATAGGACAAAACTACACCAGCGTCCTTTGCAGCTTTAGCTGCTGCAATATGAGCAGACTTGCATGGTTCCGTGATTAGACTTATAGAACCATAATGTAAAATTTTTGCCTGACACAGGATGGTTAAGACATACCTTGAGCGTTACTATAAAGAAAAAGTCAAACAAAAATCAATTGTGAAAACTCAGCGAAACTATAGTATGTAAGGGGATATAAGACAGGCATGTAGCGTAATATCCAAGAATAAGAAGGGCCCAACATGGTGACCTAAATGAAAGAAAACACCGATACTGGTGTTGCAGCCATCATGATGTCTGAGAATGCATACAGTTCAGTGGATCTGTATTCTGGAATAAATAGTTCAAAATTGAAGTATCTTTCTGACATGAGGTGTACTATGCGTAATTGAAATTCTGGTTTAGGTGTACCAGAAGGATTCTTTAATCAGATGATGTACCATGCAAGATACTTGGCTCTAGACATTTCCTTCATATGATGCATTTAGCTTTGCCTTCTTTTGACTCCTTTACAATTATAATCATCACTGATGTTAAATTACCAATAAGAGAAATTCTTTCATACCTTCCTAATTAAATCAAAATCAAGTTCAGCTTCTTGAAGCAACATATCAGCACTAGGATTACGATAAAACATGAACTCACGTTCCCCATCACTCCTCAATGTAACAAATGCTAAAGCAGTTCGTGCACCAGGATCAAAACGCATCCCTTCACTGTTCACATTATTTTCCTTTAGTATATCAGCAAGCATGTACCCAAATTCATCTTCCCCAACCTGCAAACATTGCGTATTAATATTAAAAATCTGAAAGGATAAGGTTAGCATTTTTGTTTTCTTAGCCCATGAATTCGACATTTATGCAGTAAAGAGCTGAACAACACAAGAGATATGTTTTCAATTTGTTTAGTCTTGTTAATGCATTAGAAGCAGAAATCGGTGCAAGAGAAAGAGTTTTCTCTGTTTTTTTTTAATGCATAAGAAGAAGAAGAACTCACTGTAGAAATGTTGTGACAACATGTAATATTACAGATAAGAGACACAAAAGCAAATTAAGTTGAAAATGCCCTAGCAAACACAAATGTGTGGTCAACTATGATATATATTATACGCATATAAGGTGACAAGGAAAACGACCCAAGCAAAGGAAAAGGACTTTTGGTTTGACCTTTAGAAAGATAAACACTAAAACTAAAATGTGAGGTGGGAGGAAAAAGGGATTACCTGAAGTCAAAGTGGCCAAATTATTAGTTAAAGACTCAAAACATTTGATAACAAGTGCTGCCTTCATCTAATTAAATCAGAACAACAAGAATATGGACACATATGTTCAAAATGATACCTTCCCTATAAAAGCTGATGAGCCACCAAGACGAGCTATGCCAACTGCAACATTAGCAGGGGCTCCTCCAGCAGCTTTTTTAAATGCAGGTGCTTCAGCCAATGAAAGTCCACTAGTGGTTGGGACAAAATCAATAAGCATTTCCCCAAAACAAACCACAAGGGAGGATTCCTTTGTGTCTAGTAGTGCATCTCCTGCAAATGCTTTTCCTAAAATACATAACAGTCAGACAATGAAAGGCTCAGTTTTTAACAGAAGACAACTTTGATACGAAGTAAGCAGATGAGCAAAAGCTGTATCATGTCACTCATGATTCAAGTCATATGCAAAGTTCACTCATTGTGTACATGTACTGCAAAATAAGAAAGCACAAGTTTAGCGCCCTGATTGCCAAACACAAAGTGTAAAATCTAGGATTATAGTTTGGCAAATTTCATGGTGTGTACATGTGATAAATGGTGACATCCAAATGGAGGGTCAAGTGCAACAAAGACCTCTAGAAAGAGGGACAGATAGATACCTAACGAGCATCAATATTATAGCTAGAGTGAAGACAAACTCAAGACAGTTGAGGGGGAATCAAGAAAATTAAGACCAGATCAAGACATCACCCAAACTTTAGAGTACTTCCAGCTTTTAGTTATGGTCAAAGACACTGAAATAAGTTCTTGACCCCCAAACATAGAGTTAGGATGTGTCTATGAGTCTAGGATAGTCCAAACATATTGTAGGACATGTCTACGATCCTTAGAAATAACAAAAACGAGAGTAGACATTAAGCTGAAAAAATAAATCAAAACAGACAAAATCATGCCCGAAATTGACATCTGGGGTGAACAAACAAAAGCTCTCTTGGTAGACTAGGGCATTGACTGGCAAGAAGCCATGCTCTAGGTACACTGAAAGGTTTATTAAGGGGACCAGATACTCCCGGCCAACCAAAGATTTGAGTAATTGACCAAGACAACCTCAGTCTCCCAAGGTTTCTTAGGTGTACAAAGGGTTTCACTGGTAACTGATCCCAGTCAAACAACACATTAAAAAATCAAATCTCAAATGCTTTTTACATGTTGCCCAAGAGCTGTTGGTTCTTTTGCTCTTAAAGGGCCCCCATAACTCTTAGAAGAGAGCTATTGTGTAGGTTGAGAACCAGCACCTAATGGCTCTAGCGATGGCAAGGGAGTGATGCTCCTCACCTCTCCCTTGCCCTTGAAATATCCGAGTACTTATTTGAGGTTTTGGTTGCTCAGTGGATTTCCCACCTCTACAGTGGAGGAGCTCGTTGTCAACATTGAGGTAAGTTCTTTTCTTTGTTGCTGCTTTCTTTTGTCCTTGGTTCCTAATACTGTCATTATTTGTGGATATAATACACATATAGGCAGGCCAACACACACAATCTTCCCAATTCACTCTAGATGTATATGTTTCCCTCATATACTACTACTTTAGTTCATCACAACACTGAATGGGATTTGGGGTATCAAGTTACTAAAAGCATTCATAATTACCAGTGAAATGATACTGGTACATTTACACATGTTTGTAATTACAAAAGGCTTTTCCCAAATTACACGAGGGGTAAGGTAATGCTTCAAGATTAAACAGCGGACCCTCTCCTTCATTCCTCGTATTTTTCCCATAAGATCTTCAAAATTTAATATCTAAGCTCCAAAAATGAGATTTACTTGCTGAAACTAGCAGTACACAAGGACGTTAGAATTATGGTCCTCAAGCATGGCTTTCTAAATTATAATTCTTGGTTTGCCTAGATTACTTTAATTCTGACCGAATCCATTTTCCTTAATCCCAGCATATATTGCTTTCTACTTTGGAGCTTTCCAATATCCTTCTTTCTTGTTTGCTTTCCTACAGAGATCACAAGGGATATGGTAGGCACAGTGGCATTGCTAAAATCTTCTAGATAAGCAAATACTATATACTCAAAACCCTATATTTGGATGACCTTCCGATTTCAGTTCTTCCTAGTTTCTTTACAATTTTCATTATGCTTCACCACTTAAACAGCCCCAAACATCTCTAGCAGTTTTCGATTCGAACTTCCCAAGATAAGATTACAGAATTTGACAGTTATACAGTTAAAGAAACAAATCATCTCACATATGTAGTAAACAAGAACCAATCAGAACAATCGTTGATTCATTTCTGGTCTCTATGTCCTCTCTTAGTTGCAATATCGTCCTCAATTCCACAATGTAGTTGTGACATTCTTGATATAAATAGCCAAATGAAAATTCGATAAAAACAGCAACCGGCAACAAGTGTAAATAATGCCCCCAACAAATTGTGAAGTTAAACACATTAAAGCTATATAAACGGACCAACCCACACCATGATAACTACAAGTTGATGAATTCACACAATATTTCAAGCAATCCAAAGAACATCACAAACGCCCCAAATTATAAAGTCCACTGAGCTATAAAAAAATTAGATAACAAGTGAAACTAAGCAAACCCATTTGTCAAGTGAAGCTTATACAAGTCCAGAACCAAAGCATACCTTGGACATTCGATCTGGAAATGGAACTGAGAGGTGGACAAGAAAATGCCGAGGCTCTGACTGTCCTTTGACTAAAACACACCGAATTGCGAGGCAAAGAAACCACGCCACTGAAGCAGAAAGCAGTTGAATGAAGAGCCATCAAAATAAGCGCAGACCCAGAACAGTATTCAAAGTCGTTGATGATCCCAAAAGTGCTTTTACTTGGAAGCTCTTGTGAAATGAATTTCTCCGAAGAAAAATGGCGGAGCCCAAGGCTTTTAATTAATTAAGTTTTGGTTTCAGCCTAAGACAGTTAATTAATACACTAAATCATCTGAAAATAGTATTATGGGTGTGGACGATAGAGACAGGGGTGAAGAGGCAGCGAAGAGAACAAAGCGAGAGTGTAGTAGCTTAATGTTTGTCGCCTTGCCATTGCTGCATTTTGGACTGCCGATTAAGCTTTGTTCTTGGCCTCTAAGCTTTCGTTTTGTTGCCACCTGGTGTACCCGAAACACATAAAAAAATTTCCATTCCATAATACTAGCATATTCTGAGATTTAATCCTGATATTTTCATTTCTATTTAAATCCATCCTTCTTTTTTAATTTAAAGCCAACGAAATCTAACACAGTGAAATAAGATTTGGAGTTGTAGGCGAGTGGTTTTAAATTCGAACCCCATGACACTTTAGTAGTAGTATGTGTGAGAAACTTCTCTCTCTCTTGTGGTTTAGACTATCCACTTCTATTGAAAAAAACTTTTAAATTTAAATTCTCATTATTACTTAAAGAACTCAGCATGTGTTGCAAAATTTACCCTCCATCCAGAATAGCAAATCTTGGTTTTTAATTATAAGGTTGATTTATTTGAAATTCTAAACAAATTTTATTGAGATTTTGTGTTAGCAAAACACATCTTTATCACGGTAATAAATACATATCCATACCTTTGTTGTCATCCCAATCAAATTATTCGATTATTATTAAAATTGTTATATTTTTAGGTAAAGTTAGTAATTTGGATACACTTCCACCATTTTATGCAACCTGGATACCTGAAAACCTTTGACAAAAAAAAAGTTACCTGAAAACCAAAAGTCACTTTAATCTTTTCTGCAAACTTGGGCTTACTTTTAATGCATCCAATGCATCTTCCAAGTTTTTATTTATCAAATCTAATCATATAGATAAGTAACATATTCTGACCAAAAAAGAATAGTAATCAATCATCGACATTTCATAAACACTCACAAATCAACATAACATGGTCGCATTACAAGAGTCTGATTATATTCCAGCAATTCACAATGAAGATAAACCTAGCTCAATGAATGGGATGTAATCAAATTGACAATATTCCATGAAAAAATTATCCACCTAATGAATTATAGGTAAATAAACAGATTATCCACTTAAATAATAAATTAATGGCAGATGAGCGTTAAATCAATATAATAAAATATTGTATGCAAACGTAGTAGATGACAAAATCAATATAATAAAATATTTGTATGCAAACATAGCTTTATGAAATTATGATAAACTTTGGGATGAAAGCACGAGGAAAAGAAAAAAGAAATATTCATGAACAGATAAATATTGATATGCTTCGTGATGCAAGCATAAGGAAAAGAAAAACATTCAAGATTTTTTACTAACCTGAAGGAAGTGGATGAGAAGATGGGATACAAAAGTAGAGCCCTAACCTTAAGGAGAAGAGAGTGTGTTTCTCATTGTTTGCTGCTTGATATAATGAAGGGAATTGGAGACCTTTTTTCTGTCTCTTTAACTTCCCAATAGTTCACTCATAAAGTCTGGTGTAAATTAGGAAGACTTTTGGTAGTAAGAATTATTTAAAAGTCATTCCCAATTGAAAGTCATTTATTTAACAATGTTTTCAAACATCATTAACTTTTTCGATACCACAAAACTTTTAAATACTTTTTAAAAATCACAATTGAATACCACCAAACGTTCATTAGTGGCCCCTTTATCATATGAATGTTAACAATGCCTTTCTCCATAAAGAAGTTTACATGACTCCTTCTCTAGGCTTTATTGATTGGGGAGAGTCATTTGGTTTTGGTTTGTCGACTACACAAGTCCCTTTATGGTCTCAAACAAGCTCATCGTAATTGGTTTCACAAGTTTTCTATTACCATTCAAAAAGTAGGGTTTACATAATCTCTTTCATATTATTATCTCTTCACAAAAAGCAGGGTTCACATAATCTTTTTTATTTACTGTTGTTTTAATCTACGTTGATGACATGGTAATCATAAGCAATAACGAGAGTCCTATACAGAATTTGAAGTCTTTTCTTCATAATCAGTTTCACATTAAAGATTTGGGTCATTTGAAGTATTTTCTTGGGCTCTGCAAGTTCAAAGGCGGGAATTACGATCTCACAACGAAATTACACACTTGAAATACTTGATGATGCAGGTCTTTTAGGTGCTCAACCAGTAGACTTTTCTATGGAGCAAAACTTGAAGCTCACGACTAGAAATGGTGAAGTGCTCAACAATCCTTCGTGGTTTAGACAATTGATGTGGCGATTAAACTACCTTCCAATCACTAAACCATAAATTACTTATGCAATCAATATTTTGAGCCAATTTATGCATCAACCAAGGAAACCACATTTGGATGCCACTTTACGTGTTCTTTGTTATCTGAAAGGTAGTCCAAGTCAAGGATTACTTTTCTCTTCAAATAGCAAGTTGCATTTGATAGGTAATTGAGATTCTAATTGGGCAAACTACCCCACGACGAGAAGGTTCACTTCAGGCTACTATGTTTTTCTTGGAAATTCACTCATATCTTGGAATACAAAGAAACAGAAAATGGTATCTCGTTCATTCGCTGAAGCAAAATATCGTTCTATGGAAACTGCTACTTGTGAGCTGACTTGGTTGCGATCTCTTTTGAAAGATCTACGAGTTACCAATCTAGGCCCTGCAAAGTTGTTATGTGACAACCAAGCAACCCTTCATACTACCGCCAATCTCGTTTACCATGAACGAATGAAACATATTGAGATTGATTGTCATGTGATTCGGGAGAAGATTCAAGCTGGACAGATTGCTACCTTATTTGTTCCATCTACGGCTCAGGTAGCAAATTTGTTTACAAAAGCCCTTGGAAGTAATGTTTTTCACAATCTTGTATGCAAGTTGGGCATTCTTGATATCCATGCTCCAACTTGAGGGGGAGTGTTAAAAATCAGAAAGTTATTTAGTTTCATTTTATGTATTGATTGTAATTGATTGTAAATCTTTGTATAAATACTTAGCCTTTTGGCTCTATTAATACAACGGAGAAATATTATTCTCAAACACAAGTCCAATTTGACAGATAGGTTTGTGGACTTCCGAGAAAACGAAAAATAATGCCCGAGAGGTGACAAAAGGGCCACCAACTCTCAAGCCAAAGAGAGCTTCGGTGATGAGACAGCCAATGCAGGGCAACTCAAACAAGCCATGACCAGAAAACCCGAAAAGAGAAACGAGAATAGGATTGAAAAAGGAAGATGGAAGAAGAGAGAATGGCGAAGAGGGAAGATTTAGATTACGTTCATGTTGGAAGTCTAATCATTCCTTGCTTCATGGATTTGTGTTGGAAGCTAAATTTTTTTTTCTTTTTTGTGTGTTAGTTTTCCCCACCTTTTGAATGGTTGGACATTTGAATACTCAATTGTTTACTTTACACTTGGCTACTTAAAAAAGAAAATATGTAGGCTTCATGTTTCTTCTCTAATGTGGTCTTTTTTATAGGCTAACACGTTAGGTACACAACCTTATTTTGGCAATTTATAATTTTATATAGTACAAGTTACAACAAAGTGTCCAACAAAAAAAAAAAAAAAAAAGTTACAACAAACCGTACACAAACGACAAGGATAATGGAGCGTGTGAGTGTTTGTTTTCGACATTATCAACCCTCAATAAAAATAATAAAATCATGCACGGACAAGCTAGTAGTAATTAATTGGAAAATTATTCTCCTTCAATGAGAAAATACCAAATATGCTCTCTTTTTATTATTAAAAGTTAAATAATAGATATAACAGTTAGGAATATAGCATGGCAATTGTATAGAATTTTCTATTGTGATTGGTTCATACTTTTGTTCTTCTTTTCCAACTAATCACCTCGTCACATTCCACATGTTCCAATTTCTTTCCTTGCACTTTTAATATTTTTCTAGTATGTTAAGGAGAAAACCAAAATTTCCCAATATGTAAATCCAATGCATCACACATTTACTTATCAAGAATGGGTATAAGAATGATTTCAATTTTTTCTTCAGTTATGTCTACTAACTCATGGGTATTGGAATGATTATAATTAGGGCTAACGACAAAAGACACCCTGCAGGTTTAGGGTGATTCTCAATATGGATATCAGGGTATCAATTTTATCAATTTACACACTTACTTTGCAACATCGTCCAATTTCATCATTTCGTTAAGTTGACTGTGTGGTCAATCTTTAATGCTGATGTGTCTATTGTGAGACCCACCTACTAACCAACCAATTCCTAAAAATATTCATAAAAAATGATAAAATAACATAAATTTTAAAAAATAAACTTAAAAAATCCAAATAACTCCCCAGGCCAACGAACCCAACGCCCCTTATTCACCCAACTCGCCCTGCACCAACCCCAGACCCCATCCTTCTCTCTCTCTTTGGCGTGAGCTCAACGACAGAACACCAAAACCCAATTCCAGTAAGAAAATAGAAAGCCGAGAAGTCCAACTCTTCAAAGGCTAAAAGACTCAAGTCGATCAACTTTTTCTGATATGGTGCCTGGACAGATTATGAAACATTAAATACAGAGGGATTAGCTCAACTTGCAATCTCTCTCTGAAAAATTTGCTTAAACAATATCAAGTTGAAAAGAGATCCACCTACTGCAATCACTTCAAGCTAACGTAGCTATATTATGGGCTCCAATTGCAAGCTAATTTGGCTATTCGATAGAGAACAACAAGCTTACCCATGTTATGTGCTTAAATTGCAAGTAACCCTTGCCACCAAAGTTGAATTTTGTATCAGCTTCGTTGATTATAAGCACGTTCTCCAATCTTATTCCAAAATTCTCATCTTCATTGATTATATCCAAGCTCTGAAAAGTGCAGTTTTATAGTTAGCAGGGCCGGCCCTGGGTGATTGAAGGCCCAGGGCAAAACTCTAAGAGTGTGCCCTTTATTCATAAATTATTATTATTTTAATCAAATAATTAATTGAGTGCTGCTATTTTCATCATCTTGTCATATTTTCTCACCCACTATATCTTTAAAATTTTAAAGACAAGTTAATCTTTTTGTAAAATAACTTATAAGGACTTATGTAACTCATCTTAAGTGTAAATCCAGCATGGATGTTAACAATTTAAAAAAATTATTTTAGAATATTAAAAAAACATTAAAAACTTCATCACTTCCTTCCCAAGCCGCACCAAACAAGCCACCACCCAAACACCACCAGCCACCTAGCAACCACCGTCTACCACAAGCCCAATAGCACCCACCCGCCCAGCTAGCTCTCAAGACACCTAATCCCCATCAAACCAAATTATCCATAAC